AAACAAAGGCAGAAAGTAACAGAGTAAGAATGGTCTTCTAAACATACCATACGTTTGAGGAAGCTAAAGTGCTGAAATGTAATCCACCGCTTATTGACATTCCTGAAAAGATGTAAGAACTTGTGAGGGGATTCCTGTATAGTTCTTCTTTCAAGATACCAGACACAGCCTCCTACCCAACCTATAAAAGAGAGAGAAGTGGAAGAAAGGTTAAATGATTCGTACTTCTTATCAAATGATGACTACACCTCCCCAGAAGCAAAGCCAGCCACTAATGCAGTGCTACACTGTGTGATGGGTCTGAGCTTTGAAATAATCTAATCTAGATTTGTGAATAAATGCAATTTACCAGCCCTACTCATTGTTCAAGTCAGTGTAAGCCTTCAGAAGGGCCAGGGAAAATTTTCATTTCAGGGTCACTATGCTTTATTACACTTAATGCTGAAATGACCACGCTACAGATCTTTTCAAGAAAATATAAAATGATCCGTTCAATTTTTCAAAAGTAGAAAATAAAAAGCATTAATTTTTCTTAATAAATGACAATAAATTGAAATAGATAGATTTCAGGTTAACATTTTAACTATGCAGAGTAAGACAACAAAAAGGAAGAAGAAACAGTTCCCGATAAAGTATGACTCTATCAGTCTAGTTAGGAATAAGCTATTTTTGTTGTATCTAAATTTGGCTTTTAGATTCTACTGAAACTTCTCTCAAGTATCAACAAATTCAATGCTTCTCTGCCTTGGTCCTCATCCTATTGAAGCCTCCGACAAGCCATACAACACTAGATTCTCCCGATGGCTTCCATGACACTAAGTGTTCCTGGTTCTCTGCATTCTATTTCTCAGTTGCAGATGGTGTCTATTCTTGCTATGTATGCCACCTTAAGGTAGTCATGTTCCCTCTTTCTGAACACTAAATATTGTCCCTGAGCAAATGTAATTATAGGATAATTTCTGATCTTCAAACCATTTCTAGAGTCATTGGGCCTATTTCCATCTCCTCTCTTGGTGTCTCTATATGGATGGATTGCAAAATGTCTGTAAGAGCGTTTTATGCTCAATCAATCTCTACTCTGTTCCCTATTGCACATAAAACCATTACTTATTTAAGACTTCAGGAACATCTTGAACTCTTCTGTTATCACCTAACAACCATCAAGTCCAATCTACTCTGAAATATAGGTCAGATCTGCCCACTTCTTTCCATTTTTACTGATCATCTTACATTTACCATCTTATATTTGGACTATGGTAATGACAGCAGGATTCAAGCCAGTCCTCCTGCCTTCAATACTTCCTTTCCTTTCTAATCCACGTTCCCAGAGGCAACAGTTTTCTTCCTGTGGCCCTGAATACATATTACTCACACAACCCACCAAAGCAACATTGCCCATGACCCTCCACTAAAAACACCACACATTTCACAATTTGCTCATGTTTCTATTGTTTCCTTGTTTGCATGCCACTCTCTGTCAAATTTTCTGTCTTTTTGAACTACTCTATCACTTTATGCCATGTTGTATGACACTTCTTCATGCAAATTGTTCCCATCATCTAATATTTTAGTTCCTTGATGGCAAGAATTCCCCTTTACTCACCACCTTTGTACAACAGCTAGCAGAGCACTTTTATATAATAAGGAAATAATGTTTGATGACTAGATAGCCCAAACAGCACACCTGGACTATGGGAAGGAGAACTATCACAACCCCAAGAAATACATCACAATTTTCTTAGACTGGAGATAAATCACTTCTTCATTGAAATTACAGTCTCAAACCTGAGTTAACTGACATGCTTGTTTTCCATAAACATGAAAATGTGTTTGCCTTGGAACCACCTTGGAAAATAACTCTCATGATTAAGTGAGTGGATTACCTGAGGTTAAGAGTTTGAGACCAGCCTGATCAACCTGGTGAAACCCCATCTCTACTAAATACAAAAAATTAGCCAGGCATGGTGGTGCATGCCTGTAATCCCAGCTATTTGGGAGGCCAAAGTGGGCGGATCACCTGAGGTCAGGAGTTCGAGACCATCCCGGCCAACATGGTGAAACCCCATCTCTACTAAAAATATAAAACTTAGCCAGCTGTGGTGGTGGGCACCTGTAATCCCAGCTATTCAGGAGGCTGAGGCAGGAGAATTGCTTGAACCCGGGAGGCGGAGGTTGCAGTGAGCCAAGATTGTCCCATTGCACTCCAGTCTGGACAACAAGAGTAAAACTCCATCTCAAAAAAAAAAAAAAAAAAGATTAAGTGGTCAAACTGAGATTTTACAGAATGGTAGTAAGAAGAAAAAACAGCTAGGAAACTGACATTTCATTTAGTTGAAACACGTCACATTTCTATGAATCAGTGCCCAGAAACTGAAAGACATTTCAACCTTGTGTAAACAAACTTAAATTTGAAGATACACAAAGATTATATATTAAAATTCTGGAAGCATAACACCATATCTATTATTCACCATCAACACTGGCTCCTGATTTTAGGACGTTTAAAATTAGGTAAGGAGACAAGTAACTAAAAAATGCTGACATTTTTTATTTTTACTTTTTTATTTTTTGAGATAGAGTCTTACTCTGTCACCCAGGCTGGAGTGCAGTGGCACGATCTGGGCTCACTACAATCTCTGCCTCCTGGGTTCAAGCTATTCCCCTGCCTCAGCCCCCCAAGTAACTGGGATTATAGGCGCACACCATTGCACTTGGCGAATTTTTTTTTTCTTTTTTTCTTTTTTTTTTTTGTATTTTTAGTAGAGAGGGAATTTCACCATGTTGGCCAGGCTGGTCTTGAGCTCCTGACCTCAAGTGGTCCACCTACCTTGGCCTCCCAGAGTTCTGGGATTACAGGCGTGAGCTACTGTGCCTAGTTTTTAAATGGCTATAAAATACTTAGAACTTTTAGAAGCAAAATCAGGCATGATACTACTCGATCACTAACACTGTCCCAGGTTACCTTCTCTGCCACCTCGTCCCACCATGCTGCTTCCTCATCAAGCTCTCTTAGTAATCTTCCAAGTGGATCATAGGAAGTTATACAGGCCACTTACTAGCAGAGTTTTTGGCAATTATGTTCACAGCTTCAGGGAGTAAGCTGTTCATTAATTCCTTCCATACCACCACTGCAAAGACTGATGCAGCAACAAACCATGTGGGCCATATACAGCCCACCATTGGAACTGGGGAATTCACAGTAGTCAAGCAGAATTGACCTACAGCTGACAATATAGAATGGAAAGGCAGAAAAACAGCTAATTTGAAGGATGCATGCTGGAAAAACCTACATACAGAGGAAATATTTCAAGCACTTGAAAAGGATGAGTTCTCTGAGAATGAGTGCCCAGGATCAGGATCAAAGAACATTCACAGTCAGGGATGGTAGAAGGTAACAAAGAAGTGATTCAAAAAAGAATCACGGGACTTTAAAAAACAACAACTTTTCATTATAGAAAATCACAGCCATGTGTAAAAGCAGAAGAGTACCATGAGCCCCCATTACTTATCCCCAAGCTTCATCAATTACCAAACCCTAGCCAATCCCGTTTCATCTATTCTACCTCTCCACTTTACAAACCAATCAGGACCTTTGAGATCACCTACTTCAATTACATCATTTTACAGATGAGTAAACTCAATTCCAGAAAAGTCAAATGAATTGCCCTGGGATCACACAGACCAGAAGAGAGCCATAAAATAACATTATGAAAAAGAAGAATGCAATTTCATGGAGTCACAGTGTCAACATCACCAGATGGTACAGAGAGTTTGTGTGTGGTTGGTGACAACTGAAAAAAGTTTCCGGGATGTGATCAAAAGGCAGTCCCTGGCTTCTCTTATTTGGCCTCTAATATGCACTACCAGCATCGCATTCCTCACACAACCATTAGTTAATCGTCTAAGATACTGGGGGCAAGACAATTCCCAACGTCCTCTTTCATATCTCCATGGGGACAAATTGCATCCATCCACAAATAACTACTAGGAGCAAACAATGTACATTAAGTAATGTTCTGGGCACTGGAAACAGAGGTAAACCAGAGATGGACACTGTCCCTGCCATCACAAGGTGTATATTCTAGTTAGGAAAAACAAATAATAAACTAGTATATAAATAAACAAGTATAGACTGTGCTAACCATAATGAAAGAAATAAATGGAATGATGTGAACAGAAAGAGGTAGGGGGCCCTAGTTTATATAGGGTGGTCCCTATAAAGGCCTCTCTGAAAAGGTGACATTTGAATGAGACATTACCAAGAGTCAAGGAAGAACATTCCAGCTCCAATATACATTTGTCACTAGTTCCTTCGAGTGAAAGGATATTCAAGACCACTCTGGCGGTACAAAGACAAAAGTCTTAGGGGGACTACAGCCCGCTGTCTGCAACTGTCATTATCATCACCGTTGTCATCATGACCCTTTATATTGGAACAAGGCTTCTGAGTGGAAAGCAAAGTACTTCCTTGTCATTGCAAGCCAGTGGCTAGAAGCTGAGGATCTGATAAGGAGGAGAACCCCAAGGTTCTACTCTGCCCTCTCCTCCAGCTTCCGCTATCTGAAAACCGAAAGAAGCACTAAGACGCCGCTCTTCCGCAGAAGCCGGATGGAAGAGGCGGTGTGGACCACCAAAGTCACAGTGCAAGACTGGACCCTAGTTCCGTAGCCTCTTCGCTCCAAGCTACTCCAGAGGTCAGTTCCCCCACCACACCGGTGACCGGCCAACCTCGCCAAGGGCTCCCCAAGGTTGCAGCCAGCCGGAACCACGGCCTCGCACGTGGCAATAAGAGAAGAATTTCCCCCAAGGTCGTGCCCAAGGCAGGTACAGTACCTGCCAGGAGGCGTGAGGAGAGAGTGTGAGGAGATGCGGCCATAATTCACGAGTCTGGCCGCTCCCCGGGATCCCCGTGTCCTCTCTCCTCACGGGCTGCCGGGCGCCGCCATCTTCCTTCCCCGCCCCCCTGTGGGAGTAGTTCCGGGCCGTCACTTCCGGCCGGCGGGCTCCGGGAGGAGGGCCTGGTGGCTGTAGGTGATCGCAACGTACACGCTGGAGTGTGGCGGGCTGACAGGTCTGAGACCTGAAGGACCCGGGAACCGCAAAGCACGGTGTGCCTCCGTTGTCCTGAAGAAAAAGCCGCGCGCAGACGACTGGCCGGCCCGCGCTCGCAGCTCCCAGACGTTGACAGGCATCCTCGGGTGACCGGGTGAGGTGGGCAGGGCTGGGCTGCAGAGTCCTTGCGGGCAATTTAAAGTTACAGCGGCCGAGCGCTGTGGCTTACGCCTGCAATCCCAGTGCTTAGGGAGGCCGAGGCGGGAGGATCGCTTGAGCCTGGGACCTCGAGACCAGCCTGGGCAACAAAGCGAGACCCCACCTCTAGAAAAAATGTAAAAATTAGCCGAGTGTGGTGGCGCGAGCCTGTGGTCTCAGCTACTCAGGAGGCTGAGGCGGGAGGATCGCTTGAGCCAGGAATGTCGAGGCTGCAGTGATTGCGTCACTGCACTGCAGCCTCGGCGACACAGTGAGACCCTGCCTCTAACAATAAATTTTAAAACAAAAATAAAGTTACAGTTAGGACACTTCCAGGTGACAGGAGCATCATGAGGAAATGGTTCTCGTGGCGATGCTTCCACCTCCACGTCTGATCAGTTACACTTTACCATAGTCTATCAAATGGGAGCCCAGATGAACTCCGGATTACTTGTTTCTGAGCCACACTAAAGGAACTGAATCATCCAGATATTTCCAGATGAAGAAGGTGCATGTAGAGGTTCATATTTGGTGCTCTGGAGTGAAATCCGTATTTCAGTTCTGCCCTTGTGACCTTGCTTGAGCGAGTTACCCAAGTCCTCTGGACCTCAGTTATCTAGCAATACAATGGGGTAATAATAGCACATCTTTTATAAACGGTTGAGATAATTAGATAAATGTGTGTCATGGGTAGTCAGGCACCTACTAGGTACAGGCACTAATAGATTATTACCTGTGTTATCATAAGTGTTGTGATTGCCGGGGCAGATCTCAGCATCCCCCAACCCCTCAATCTTCTTTTCAGATTGGGGTTCCACAAGTAAAGGTAGATTGAAGAAAAGATTCCACTTTTGAAAAAAAAAGAGAAAAATAGGTAATTGGGTTCTAAAAAGGCAATTTCTTTCTGTGTCTTCAATAATGAGAGGATAGCGGTTTTGGTTCACCTCAACTAACATTGCTAGGCACAGGGAACGCTGAAGAGATTAAAACACCCCCTGCCCCTTCCCCGATTCTGTAGGAGCTTACACTAGACCAATGAGAGGACAAGACATTGTCGATTGTCATTACCAGTGTGATAGGGGTAGTATACAAAGTGCTGCAGAAACTCTGATGAGGTAACATTTCTGTGCGGTTGGTTTAAGGAAGGCTTCAGAGATTTAAACTTGGTGCTCTGGAATGAACAGTAAGATTTTTACAGCGTACAAGAAAGGGAAAGGACACTCTGTAAAGAGGAAAATAGCATTAAGTACAGTGTTAACAGTTTTTGAACTCTTTATAATTTTCCATGTGCTTTTATAAACACTTGTTGTTTAAACCTAGAGCAAAAGTTATCCTAAGTCTGGCACATTAAGGCCCAAGAGTTTTAAGTAATCTGCTCAAAGTCACCTAGCTGTCGAATGCCGGAACAAAGACCTGAGTCCCTGAAACCTGTGAGAATGTTATATTTTCACCATGCCATCAGGCCTTACTCACCTAAGCATCTGGAAGAGTCATAGCTTCTGTGATTTATAAAACAGTGTTTTCACCTTGGCTGCCTATCAGAATCAAATGTAGGACTTTAAAAAATTATAGATGTCTAAGCCACCTCTAGACCTATTGAATCTGAAGAGGTGTATGATAGATGTAGAGAGACCTGTAATTTTCTCTTTAAAGCACCGCTGGTGATAGTGATACACAGAACTGAGAATACTGGATTCCAGCTTTTACTTCACAACACAACCATGTCTAAAAGGTTGATTAACATAAATGTTATATTTCACTAACTCCCAAGTCCTCTAGGCTTATGATAGACAAGGGGTTTAATAGACATGCACCTTCTTGACCAACAGATTTTTCCTTTGTTTTAAATTTTTTTCCAAAAATGGGGGCAAGGTAAGACCAAGTACACAAATGAATGCTTAGGTTTTTATTTGTAGAAATTAGGTGGGTGCGGTGGAATTAGTGCTGGGTGCGGTGGCTTACGCCTGTAATCCCAGCACTTTGGGAGGCCAAGGTGGGCGGATCACCTGAGATCAAGGGTTCGAGACCATCCTGGCCAACATGGTGAAACCCCGTCTCTACTAAAAATACAAAACTTAGCCGGCTGTGGTGGTGGGTCCCTGTAATCCCAGCTATTCTAGAGGCTGAGAATTGCTTGAACCTGGGAGGCAGAGGTTGCAGTGAGCTGAGATTGCGCCCCTGCACTCCAGCCTGGGAGACAAAGCAAGACTCCATCTCAAAAAAAAAAAAAAAGAAATTAGAGTAAATGTTTTATAGAGAAATGTCTGAGAGATAATACATTCTGGCTTTACTGGCCAAGAAATGCACTTACCTATCTACTATTTGTGATATAGTTAGCCTAGGCCATCGTACTCTCCAAAAAAGTAATCCTGTGGAGATACTTCTGGAATGAAGAGGGTTCCATGACCATATACATTGACTTGGCCATGAGTAGTGGCAAGGAAAGCTGAAAATAGAGTTGCAATGATTACCTTAGGCCAGTCACAATTCATCACTGTGGACCTAGCCATATTGCTATCTCAAATCAAATTAACATTAAACCAAGGAAGAAGTGGGGAATAGATTTTGGATAAGTAACTGAAAGAGTATCACAACTGTTTGACCCACAGTTTTCCAAACATTTTGAACACAACCCATTTTATAAAATACCATTAAAACAGGAAATAGGACTTTCAGAGATAGGCCTCAGAAATCTATATAGCTCCCTACCTTTTCATTTCTAGATTTGTAAACCCAGGTCCAGAGAGGTTAAGTGATTTACTCTGTAACAGAACATTGACTCTAGACATCCAAGTCAGCATTTTTTTCCATTTCATTATATTGTCTTTTTTTTTGTCCCTCAGTCTCCCTGTAGCATCTTCGTTAATGAAATAGTGTAGGACTCCACAATTAGATATAGTATTTATTTGACTTTGCATTTCACATTTCAAGCAAAATATGTTTCATAGGCTATGTTCAGTATCACTTGTGGAAAGAGATATAAGTAATCAAAAGCATTATTTTTTAACCAAAATATTAAATAGATGTAAATAATTGAAAGCATTATTTTTAGCTAACAGCATTATATATATTATTGCATAATTACAGAAAGTTGAGTTATATCATTCAATTGTGTGTTAATATGATCATTACCACTTATGTTTTTTCCCTTTTTTTTTTTTTTTTTTTGAGACAGGGTCTCACTCTGTCACCCATGTGGGAGTGCAGTGGTGTGATCATAGCTCACTGCAGTCTCAACCTTCCAGTCTCAATTAACCCTCCTGTTTCAGCCTCTGAAGTAACTGGGACTACAGGCACATACCAGCATGCCTGGCTAAGTTTTAAATTTTTTGCAGAGACAGGGGTCTCACTGTGTTGCCCAGGCTGATCTTGAACTCCTGGGCTTAAGCAATTCTTCTGCCTCAGCCTTTCAAAGTGCTGTGATTATAGGCGTGAGCCACTGTGCTCAGCCTGCTTATATATTTTTAAATAGTATTCGTAAAGCTTTGTAACTTGTCTCTTAAAATTAATATTTCAAAAGCCTGAGAACCTAGAAAATGGAAACTAACCTATACTCTCGTCCCATTTTGTCCTGTAGGTTGGCTGCTCCTTTGCTTTCAAATAAGATTTCTTCTCAGAAAGTCTACATGTACTGAATAAAATCTGCAGTTTATGTAATATCACATGACTTGAGAGTAAATCCTAACTTTTTCAAAGCCTCGCTGAATTTCCCACAATAGATAAAGACCCAGCTTTCCCTAGGAGCTGAAGGGAGAAAAAATTCCCAACCTAGTATGCAGGATGTAACCAGTTGACACAGAACTATGTATTTGAAAACAAAATAGATTTCAAAACCTAAGGGGAGGCAAATGATTTGAGTAGATTTTCTTCCAAGCAGACTTACAAATGCCAAGAAGCACGAGGGAAAAAAAACCTTAGCATCAGTAGTCATTAGGGAAATGCAAAGCAAACCTACAATGAGATATCATTTCCCATCCACTTGGATGGCTGTAATCAGAAAGTCAAATAATAACAAGTGTTGACAAGGATATGGAGAAACTGGAACCCTCAAAGATTGCTGACGGGGATATAAAATTATGTAGTCACTTTAGAAGACAGTTTAGCTGTTCCTTAATAAGTTAAACATGGAACTGTGTGACCCAGCAGTTCCTGTCCCAGGCATAGACTCAAGACAAATAGAAACATACATCCACACAAAAATGTATATATGAATATTTATAGCAGTATTATTCATAATTGCCAAAAAGTGGCTACAACCCAAGTGTCCATCAACTGATTAATGTATAAATGTTGTATATCCATACAGTGGAATGTTTGGCCATAAAATGAAAATGGAGTACCAATACATGCCATGATATGTATGAACCAAAAAACATACCAAGTATAAGAAGTGTCACCAAAGACCACATATTGGATGGTTTCATTTATATGAAATGTCCAAAGTAGTTAAATCCATAGAGACAGAAAGTAGGTTAGTGGTTGCCTGTGGCTGGGAAGGTGGGTAGAGGTAAAAGAGAAGTGGCTGCTAATGGGTACAAGGTTTATTTAGGATGGAGGAGGATGAAAATGTTCTAAAATTGATTTTAGTGATAGTTGAAAAACTCTGAATATGTTAAAAATCATTGAATTGTACACTTTAAATAGGCACATTGTATAGAATATGGATTATCTACCAATAAACCTGTTTTTAAATTAGACAGGAAGAGCTACTCAAGGAGATCAAAGGTCCTGGTGTTGGACAGACATCTACCAATAGCTCTTCCCTCCTCATGTAGAGTGGAAGATGTAACTGTCCAGAATAGACGCATTTCCCAGCCTCTCTTGCAGCTTGGTATGACTTTGCAAGTAATTCTCAACAGTGGGATGCAAGCGTAGGTAATGTGTTTAAGTTCCAAGCGTCCTTAATAATGAGATACCAGCCACATATTGAAGACAGTGAGTCAATAAAATAGGCAG